AGCGGGTCCTACATAGCTTTTCGCTGCCACGTGTACCCTTAACTAATGAAAACATTATTTGTTTTGGTTCCCTGCGGGTTGTAAAACGCGCGCAGCATTTCAACAACACACTTTTCATGGCGTGAGAGCAAATGAATGGAAAGTCTCATGGAAATCACATCATAGGCAGGAATAGTAGTGACTCTAAATGTGGCCCTATGCCACGCCTTGCGCTCGTTATGGCAGGACCGATCGAACGGTGGCGCTCCCCGCGCCGTAGCGTTGCCCCGTGACATGGACATGAGAGTTGAGCTGGTGCCCACTGGTGTGCTTAGGAGCTGCGAAGATACTCTTTGCGATTAATTCAGATGAAACTTTCCAAACAGCTTCATGTGACAAAGATTCGGGCCTCGAACCCTCCTCAGGTCCACAAATACTAGAATTGAATAAAATACCTCGGTTGCGCGGGTTTGTGATTCCTCTAATGCCACTCCGCTTCAGTCTGACTGTCCTAGAAGTGAGCCTCCTGTCTCACACGCGTGGTTCCCACGAGAAAGCGTCATGTTCTCGTTACGTGTTCGTGTTACGAGTGTTGCAGTAGCTATCAGGGCGTAACTTGGCCCAGCCCCGCGCCGAGGGTGAGAAATGCGCACGAGGTCTAGGAACCACGTTGTCTCTTCATGAAAAGATAATAGAATATGTTTATAGCCCAAACGAATCTACTATTTGTTCGACCCGGAATCGAGAGCTCTGGAGTGGTGCAAAGCCATAGATCAGGTAGGTAATTTGTATAGGACCACTAATTGTAAGGGCACGGAAACGGAGTTGTCCATGTTTCAGGTTAAAGTCCGCTATGCGGACAAAATAGCTGAATCGTATGCAAGAGCAGTGAAGGATGGCACATATGGCGTTAACAAATTCAAGAAATCGAGTAACTACTTTGGTGATAAACGAAAAAAGACGGAGGAGGACGGCGGGAAACGTGACAGCCATTCGGCTTCGACACCTCACTGATTGGAGCACTCTTCGGCACCCTCAATATGACCTGATTGTTACGAGTCTTACAGTATATTTCTATCATTTTTACAGAGTAATCTTATTACTGGTGTCAATTAAAATTACCGAGCAACAATTACAAAAACAGATACATAAGAGGTGACAAAATATGATACTCTCAGATGCACATGCAAATACAAAATTCACAAGAATTATGATATAGAGTTCACATGTATCATTTATTCAGCTCTACGGGCATTTTTCAAGTTTACAATTTTTCTGATATTTGCTGAAGTACCATTTGAGGTGTGACCAGTTTTTATTTTTAAGAATATCTCTTAGCTTTCTTTTACTTGATCATGCTTCGTTTCGATCAGATGTCCATTTGTTTTCTAGTGAAATTGTTCTCGTCCATTCTATGATATTCTACTGTACATTACCCATGTCTTTACATGTGTCGATTCCTAGCTCGAATTCTAGCTGAGACGTTCGTGAACTTGTGAACGTACTACTCGTACATTTCGAGCCCATGACTTCCGATTTGGTCAAGCGCTTTGATACGGGATATGAATTATTCGCTAACACGTTGTGTACAAAATGCAACCATACTTTTTTCTGATTCATAAGCTGATCAGTAACAACAGCTTGTTTTACCGGTATTCCTCATATTTCGTGGTCATCGAGACGGCTTTGAGAATCGTCGTGTTTCCAACTATAATAAATGTAGCCTTAATATGCTATTTCGAATTTGAATACATTTTATGCTCTACCAATGAACATTACTGAGGCATATTCTGTATACGTTGTCTACAGTACCGCCTTCGATATTACAACAGCTCAGCAGTGTAGCGTTAGTGCAACATGCCTGCCGTTTGCAACAAGTGTAGGAAATCATATCCTAAAGATAAAGTGAGGAGCAGGTTCTTTCTCTTGTTCGGTGAAGGGGTGACTGTCAAGCAAATGGGTTCCTTAAGGCTGACGTCTGACTCCACGATTACGGAGGAAATGGGATGCTACGGAGAGGAGACGGGATCGATCGATACTTGCGGCGATGATGCGTATGCACCTATCCAAGAAAAGCCTAGGAAACAAACAATAGGGCCATGCCAATGTGCCTCGATAGGGGCCAATGTTTAGAGAGGCCACTAGGACTAAGCCTAAGGGAGAGGTGCGACTAAAATACCATGAAAATTGCCTACACATGCCGGAGTCTCTTCTACTGTAAGAATTAGTCCTAAAACTGGGCGTTCCCGCGCCTGACGCAATGTTGGAGAATCTCCCCTCAGAGCCATAACTCATTTTTTCCCAGATTGAAGTAGACGCATCCTCCTTGTTCTGCATGTATCGACTGATCGCGTTATCCCTCCGTAGCCACAGACTCTAACATAGGCCTCAGTGTTGTTCCGTTATTAACTTTCCATTTGCCCATGCATAGTAAACATGAAGCTCCATTTCATATCTACTGGTTTCGAATATCAAGTGCAGCTCACCTACGAGGCACAAGCAAAGTTGAATAAGGGGAGGAGGGGAGTAGAGACGGAAGTCAGGAATAGCCGAGTTTGAAGGCGCACACCGCGATAGCGAAAGGGTATTATTATGGCTTAGGCATGAAACTATGGATGCCAAGGAAAGCGCAATGCCAAGACTGCCAATAAAGCCTTAATTTGTGTCCTTCTGCAACAGCATTGTGTGAGGTTGGGATGGTGAAAATTTGCGTACGGACGAGTTTTCTGAGCGGCTCTTTTGTGCCAGCAATCAGGGCGGCTAACAGATCGCCGCGTCGACTGGTAACAGAAAATGTGTAATTAAGCATACGGAGAATCTGACCTGGAAACGTACTCGGGTCTCATTCAGTAAGGGGGGTATGTGGTGCGACAGTTCATGTTGTATAAAGTAATCCCCTTTTTCCAGGGGAGCGAAGCTCCGGGTTGGTGTAAAAGTTTAAGCAAAGTGGTTGGTTCACGCACCCCGGGATTCCCGGAAGACGTTCTCCTCCTGGGGTCAGGCCACCAGAGCTGCGCAATCATTGAAGCCTGAGGGTAAACTTGGGTTCAAGTTTAGGTTATGCTTACACATTGGCCTATGCTTATGCCTATGATTGAGCCCAGACTTGGTTCTGAGCTTGCGTCGAGCAAATATGCGGTGTTTCAATTTTGAGTGCGCTGACCTGAGGAGGAGAAATGCAATGCACTCGGGACTCCCTCTCTTTGAAATTTCTATAGACGGGGGAGAACTGTCACACCTCATGTCCCCCCTTACTGGATGAGACCCTCGTACTCATTAATAACTGAACTGAGCGAACAAGGTTGTTAAAGCGACTAGCTCAGTAAACCTTGAAGACGACGATGGACCGGCAGCATTCCACGAACGTGAGGTGGTGAGTGCTGTGGATGAGGCGGGAGTACATGGAATTAATCGATATCTATCGCTCTTAGCAGGCAAACTCGAAATGTGGAAACAGCGTCAGGCGCCACTGCAATCAGTCAAAGGGCCGCTAACTGGCCACTAACTTTATTTGGCTCTTCAAATGTGGGTCAAGCTGGACCAGGGCAAAAAAAAACAGCCTTGATTTGCTTCCAGTTGATGGAAAACCTACCCTTGTCCTTTGTTTATTCATGGTGTACCTGGCACCAAAAACCTTGCTCCGAAAAAGGCGTTCCTCGGTGAGGGGGGGTGGAACATTCAGAACGGGGCATTCGAAAACCGCTGGTAGGTGACACTAGGACTAAACCAAGATTGGGAATAGCACTAGGGTGGTTGCTCACTCGTCTCCCGAAATTCTTTCTCCTCCCTGAGACTTAGTCCCGAGTTCTACGAATGGCGCACCCACCTCAATGTCCCTACCAAAAACATTAGCTTCCCAAAAGTAATCAGCCATTAAATCCTTAATACTATCTTAGACGAGCGCAATTTTGAATACCTTGTACAAGTTACACACTTATTAAGCGGTAACGTGCGCTAGAACTTGCTTTCAAACTTTAACGTTTAACCCATCACATCAGCCCATAGGCGGAGATACAGTAACAATAGTTCAAAAAAAGAGTAGTGCTAGTAGTCAGCACCTCAAGCATCACCCATTAAGTGCCTCACTGCTTCAACGAACCACTTCAGAAAACCGTAGAGGATGGCCGCCCCTGCACAATTATCGATGAAGGCGAGCGTTGCGGGACCACCCAGCATGCCACCCAACACTATTCGAGCGTTGTTATTGTTCACAGAAGCTGAATCGTCCTGTCAGTATAATGAATTCACAGAGCATTGTAGAAGGAAATACACACTACCTGCCTAGAGTTCTCTGTTCGAAAAGAGTCACCAAGCAGGAATTAGCACGTAATTAGGCCTGGGGAATGCGAGCATCCAGCAGGGCAATGGGATGCATGGGCAAACGGCTCTGAAATCGTTGATTAAAGCCCACGAAATGCCACACAGTTCGCCTGCCCATCGGACGTACCCTTAATTCGAGCCCTGGCACCGAAACAAAGAGCAAAGACTTATTCCCAACACTGCTCCTCAACTTCCCCTCTACAATCCCCGGAAAATTCTGATCTGATCCAGGTTTGCACACTTCCCTCTCCCAGCCATAGCATTTGTTGCTCTTGAGCTGGACACTTACACGTTACGAAGAGCACGAAGAGCAAAAGCCAAAAAAATACTCAGGTAATACCTCAGTAAGCAAAAACATCCGCCTCCTGGAGAATAAACCCTTCTTCTTGTCTATGAATCCAGAACGAATGATCAAATTTTCCTGTACGAATGGAAATATGTACCTCTTTTTCGGAGTGGCTCGCCGTATCCGGTCACAAATATAAGGGATTAACACATTGACGACGTTGAGACACGGTAACGCGTCCCATTACGCGCACCTCGTTGGACATTGAGACGCGGTAACGTGTCCCATCCAAGTTATTCCCAAGGTCTTTGTACTCATTCTATAGGCCACACATTAGCATACTTAAAAACCACATGGCTCACAAATAATGTAATCAGGTTGCAAGGAAATGAGTCTTGTTTTTTTTTTCGCTCACTCCGTCGCATCGTGGGGTTAGCGTTGACCGAAATTTTTCCAAGGAGTTGTATTTTATGTTTCAAGGTGCCCACAGTTGACTGTATACCTTAATCGGGGCTCAAGAGCTTGGCCTTCTTGACACATACCAGAGTTCACCTCCTCCCTGCCACTTCTACACATTGCCGTGGCGGCCTTATCGAGTCGGGGAAGGGAGATGTCGTCAGTGTTAGGGATGTTAAGAGATCCCCAATGAAAGGCTATATGGAAAGTTTCCGGTAAAAACACATATTAATTCCTAGGTAATAACAGAACAGCGTCAAACCACGGACATATATACATATTAGGAAAACTTAGAAGAAAAACAGCACTGATCGCAAACTTTGTGTAACCACATCACACTATGACCGTCTCTCTTGAAAATCGCGGACGTTATTTTATAATAGTTCCCGTTTGAAAGAGAGGAAAGGGAAAAAATGATTTTCAGTGCCACATGTATGCACTATTAACCCTTTGGCGACCATGGATTTGCACGTAGCGTGCTCGTAGGACTGTGCCTCTTTACCGCGTGCCCAACTATCGCACAACATGGGGCAAAATTGTCCCTTAAAGCAGTTTTTCTATCAAAAGTTTGACTTCGGCATCATACAACATATGACCGCAGTCTTCAGCGTTATGATAATGTGTTGTTAAAGTTAGAAGTGGAAATTGGCAAAGAGAACTGGGATTTCAAAGGGGTGGTGGTTAAAAACTCTATAAGTTTATACGTAAAGTAGAATTCATATATCCACACCCCTTCAGCTGAAGGTTCGTGTAAACGGGGCAATTGGCTGCTCTCAATTCTATTCTGGAGTTACTTTGAGATAAGAGCTACAAACACTTCCCTGAAATTTGTTTGTTCCATCAACCTACTATGCGTTTTTAATGACACGATCTCTTGGTCCTCATAATTTTGGCCAACGCTTGAGCTATTTTCATTTTTCCCGGGATTCCTGCCCCCTTCTAAGGCTTAGTT